AATTTCTGCTCATATTATTGAGTTATGTCTGATACAAAAGTTTATATAAGTCCATAACTCAAAAAAATTTTGAACATATATTCTTGGCTAAACTTAAATGCTTAAGTGTTGAGACAACAGAGAAAACGAGCCTATACTTATTCCCCACAGGAGAGAAAAAATAGAAGAACTATAGATGAAGAGTACATTCAATAGTAATTTTGTGTCCTTTGCTAAATTTGTCATCATGTACCTTTTACAAGTCATAGAGTATGGCCTTTATAAGTATATACAAGAGAGGACCACTTGACCTAATGGCAGTTCACAGAAAAGCCAGGTTGCTTAGATAGATATCAACATTGCAAAGCCAATAATATAACTGAGCTGCAAACAAAACACCTATTAACCATGTGTAATGTTTCCTATTGCAGAATAGTTTTACCATTGTACACTTCATTATCTATTGCTATGATTTTAGAATACATAGCCTCAAAAAGTCAATTCAGACCTATTTGCAAACTTTCTAACCTTGGGTCCTCAGTCTGCGAATGTAAAGCTTGGAAAAATAAATGAAAGGTATAAACGGAGTCTTATTTTTAGGAACTTTTTCACCAAACTAAACCACAGGAAAAAAAGAATCCAAAAGGGTTCTTCTGACAGATCTGAGCCAGTACAATGATTTATAGCACTGGATGTGATCAAGAGGGTAGCTGCACACTTGCCTTGGAGGATTTGAAAAGAATTGTTCTTCTGGCTGGTGATGGAATGAGATGACTTTTAACTATCTCCTAAAACTGTTCAATGCTTTTAGATTTTAATTAGTTGTAGTCTGTGTACTTGTACACTGGGGAACTACTTTAATTATTATTCAAACCCTCACAGCTCAATAGTATTATTACATAAAATTAAAATAAAAATATTACTCAGTAAATGTATTTTTAAAAATTTATTTTTGTCTTTTTGAGACAGGGTTTCACTGTGAAGTTCAGGCTGGCCTTGAACTCACTTTGCAGCCTGGTTGGCCTCAAAATCACATTGATCCTCCTGCCTTGTCCTCTTGAGTGCGTGGATTAATAAGCATGTACCACCATGTCCAGCCTGGGTAAATATTAGCACAATAAAATATTCATTTTGGTACTCAATAAGATGCAAGGTGTGTGCAGTATTTAATTTTCCTTGGAATGTAATTTTTGTAAGCTACAAGGATTTAGGATGGCATTCATATATTTGAATTTTTTCAGCCATAGAAAAATAAAACACAGTCTCAAGTCCATTGATCACTATCCATTTTCACTGTTTCTTCCATAACTATTCATTTGTTTCTGCTTCATTTTGTTTTGCTAGAGAAATCATTACCACTAACTACAATGACAAATTTTGTTGAGCACTGAAGTAGTTGTAATCTTAATTCTGTTGTACTCTTTTTTTCCTCTTATCCTTTCATTACTTCTAATACAAAGTTAATACTAAAATGGTTCTCCTTCAAAAATATATACCTGCGTGTGCTAATCTAGTTAGTGTTTCTAAAAGTTAATAGGTGACCAAAAATACGATACAAATTTTCTTCATGTTACCAACAATATTATACTCTAAAATAATATTCTTACATGTACTTAAAATTCTAAATCTGAGATCCTGTAAGATTATCATATTCACCATGGATATTAATAATATTTTAATAAAATATTTTATCTGCACTATAAATGTATATCAGAATCCCATCAGAAGTGAGGTTAATTTTCTTCTTAATACATTTTAGATTGCCAAATTGATTTATGGCATCTTTCATCTTTCCCTGACTGCTTGTTTCTGTGACACCTGTGACCTCTAAATTTCTATCCTGTTACAGTTGTTTGGGTTGGCAATGAGAAGTTACCAGGAAACTCTACCAGGTGATGTCCAGTAGGTGAAATGGAGCAGCCGACCAAGGACTTGTCCTGGGCTTAATCAGGTTAAAACTCCAATGATCTTCTACTTCCATATTACAGAGTATGTGTTTTTATTTCTGAAATAATTATAGTTTTCTCAAGGTTCTCAAAAACATGCATCATTTGAAAAGATATAAGAATACCCTATGACAAAGAATGAAATACTGATTTTAAAGTAGGAATAAAACTTTTCTTTAAAGAAGTTTTAGTGTATTAAATGAGAAGGCTGATGGTATAAATTAGCTTATGAATCTTTCAGAAGACTTCTTCACTGCTAGACAGTGGATTTTTTTTTTACCTCAACTCATGACAGCTTTCTCTTCATTTGGTCATTATATTAAAACACAATTAATACTTCCATGAATAGTTAATTGAAAGCAGAATTGAGAATTTGTCTTTCAAGATGTAAATTTTGTTTTGGATAGAAGACTTGATGTTGTTAACCTTCACAGTGTCTCATACCCTCTAATTCTTCTTGATCATCATAAATACATAATGTTTACTAGTGGGAAAAGTTGGTCCATGTGATTTTTTCACTGTAATAGAATTGTTATGAAGTAAGAAGAAAATTGAACCTTTTGTAAGTCAAGGACAAATTCCTTCTCCCCCTGGTCTGGTAATTTCCTTGACAATTTTGCAATGATAATTTAAAAATTGAGGGAAATTTTCTCTATATTTCATATTGTCTTTTTATTAAGAGGAAAAATAGTCTCTGAGAAAAGGTTTCTGTACACACATTGCAGGTTAATTTGCAATTTCTGTTGTTAGTGACCAGAAGCTGTTGTCTGTGAGACAGTCTGTTGCCTCACTGATGAAAATTAGAATGAGGGCAAATCCAGTAACAGATACCTTCAAAAACAGTTGTGGGTTTTCTTCCTTCCTCTGGTACCAAGCCCAGTGTGTGTGTGTGTGTGTGTGTGTGTGTGTGTGTGTGTGTGTGTGTAGGGTGGTGGTAGTACATCAGAATCACCTTTGCTATTTCTTTTTAGTATAAACTAAGGCACTGTGTTTGGGGAGGGAGACAAAAGGACTATATTCGCTTTTTTTTACTTCGCTCCAGTAAATGAGCTTTGCTCCAGGAAGAAATGTTGGCCACAGTATATTTAAAATTAATTGAAAAAGTAAAAGATTTTGATGCTTTTTAATATAAGGAAGATTGATTGTACTAAATGCTTTCAGATATTACACTGCATTGTTTTATTTACTACTCTAACCCTATATCAGAAGAATAATTTGTATTCCAGTCATATTGATTTTAATGGATTTTGGAGGTAGAAAAAGAATAAAAGCAGTATATAAATATTCTTCACCATTTTTCTTAAACTGAACAAAGCTTCATGATGAGAGAAATTATTTCAAAACCATAGAAATTCTTCTTTTTTTCTCAGAAGATAGAATTATCCAATTAAAGATGTTTCTTAAACAATAAAAGACAGGTCATATTTTTCTAAGTTTTGTGTTTTGTCAAACTGAAGCATGAAATGTCAAGCATTTACAAGAAAACAGTCACAGTTAAGTACACTGAATCACAGAAATGGATTATCAACCTTACTGAGAACCTAGTATGATATAGGAACTTCTGTATTCACTGTTAAAAGAAAAAATTGGAAACATCATATTCCTTTTCAGATTAAAAGGAATTAATACAATTGATTTAAAATTTAAAGTACTTCTAATACATAAGAAATTCCAGAACTGTATATGATAAACACAGACAAAAAATTACAGTTGTTATTTTTTTTCATATTTTACTAGTAAGAACTTTTTTTAGACTCAGGTATTTAGTAAAATTCAGGTTAAATATGTGTAAAATATGTATTTTTGGCAGCTTAGCTCTATAGTGATACTTGGCCAGAGCACTATATTTAACATATAGCAACAATTATAGGGTGTTAATAGCTTATGATATGAAGTACCTTACATCTTAGCTTATTATTCTTATATTTTTCTTTCTTTCTTTTTTTTTTTTTTGAACTCAGGACCTCATGCTTTTTAGGCAGGCATGATGTCCCTGGGTTATACCCCCAGCTCTTCGATATACTTTTCTACTAAAATTTTTCTGATTCTATTTCTGATCACTGGTTGGATATAAAGCCATATCATATGAGGAACAGAACTAGGCTGATTGCTGTATCCTGCTGTTAGCTCCTTTTGCACTTACCATAAAATAAACAGTGCATCTTTGTGTAATAGTGTGTAGCTTTTATACAGCTACCCTTGCACCTGTAATACTGAAAGAGCTGAACCTTCATACAGGTTATGAAGTGAAATGCATAAAAGTTACTGTGACCAGTAGATTCGGACATGATCACATTGCTTCTAAGAAAAGATCCTGGTATCCTACATACCTGAACTCAAATCTAAATGCCCAATAGTGATTTGGAAAGTTACTTAATCTATTTGGGTTCAGTTTTGGTGTCTTCATTTATAAAATGAGAGCTGTCAGAGGTTTAAGTGAATATATACACATATATAATTTGTATTTAAAATATATATACATATAAGATGTATATTCACTCAAGATATATATGTATCTAACCACTTAGGTTCCCTCTCTCTCTCTGACTCTGTCTCTCTCTCTTAAGTTCTTGCCAGTCAGTACATGCCATGTAAATATTAACTATCATTATACTGCCTTATCAGTTCTGTATCGTAACTACTAATGAGTAACAAAATTAAATGATCGGATAGCTTTTCCTTTTCTCTGCTTTTCCTTTAAAAGTTCAAAGGTTGCAGCAAAACGACAATGTTCAGTTGTGTAAACCCAGAAGGAGATGCCCTCAAGCAAGGTGGTGATTTAATAGGCTAATAGCTTGCTGGATATAAAACCGACTCTTTGTAGAACTAACAGAGGGACTGTTAATGGACTTTTGTTGCAGATGATGGATTGATATTCCAGGGACAGCACTGATGACAGTCCTCAGAACCACTGCCTCTCATAGCCTTTGTGAAAACAGCAGCCCTGAGAATAAGTAAAATTTCATGTAAATCAAAACAAGATTTTATCTGTATTCATTCACTGTGGTAGCTCAGATTGTAGAGAAGTGCCTAGCAAATGATAGAGGCCCAAAAACTATTCACAAGAGAACTGAATGGATGAAAACCGTGACCGTCCTTTTAATGGGATTACTATTAAAAGCAAGATACAATGACATGCTTTCCTACTTCTTGATAGATTTTTGACCCTGAGAATGGTGGCAGGCAGGTCAGCAGAATGGAGGAGCAGCATGTGAAAGGTATAATGCAAATATTTCAAAAAGTCAGGATTCAGTGAAATATTCACAGACCATGTTGTGTGAAGGAAGCAGTGTCACATACCAATTAGGTCCATGCTCATGTTTCACGTTTCAATGACAAATAACCCTGTTCAGCATCTGCCTACCTTTCTGTCTATGCTCAGATATGTTTTCCCCAGCCTTTAAAAAATCTTTGACCTGTGACTAAGTGTGATAAACAACTTCAGTGAAACTCTCAGCAAAAGTTACTTTTAAGCTTTCCCTGACTAATCAGCAAGACATCAATCATTTCACAGTTGGGGTTCATGTACAGCATGACTTATAATTTACATCGAAGCCTCAGAAAGTCAGTTAAAATGCCCTCAGAACTATGTGCGATTTAAGTCTAAATGCATGTTCTTTTCTATTCCCAAAGTAAACATTTTTTGAAAACAGAAAAATGTCCCTTTTACAGCTTAATGGATGATTTCAGTAGGGACCTATTCAATATACCCTGTAAATTTTATTAATTATTTTTGTAATGAAAGCCGAGAAGGTATTAGTCATTCTTTTTGCTCAACTATGTTCAATACATTTGTCTTTTCCAAGTATAGTAAAACAGTGAACAAACTCATAGTACCTTATTAATTAATTAGACACGATTTCTTAAGATGGTTTCTATTATCTCATTTAACTTTGGAGCTTGCAGCTATTAAAGAGGTCACCAACAAGCTATTACTGTTTTACAAAGCACATTACCAAATTAGACCTGGTACAAGAACTCTGGGTCCAGCAGGAAAAAAAAAAAAAAAGTATACAAATGAATCACAGCGGAAAAATGCTGAAAACACCTATCTGTAGCCATACAAAACAGGCCTAAGGTAATTAGTGTTACCATTCAGGTTCATTTTATTCCAAGGTATTGTGTTTCTGTGCTTGAATCTTCATGTAGAAAATGTACCTTAGCATTGCAACACTAAGTGTTGGTGGTGTAATGTCATAGGGTCCTGGGGCACGTAGGGTAAACTTTTATATTATTGCACAGTTAACAAAATGTACAGCTATAGACAACATAGTATCTGATGAATACACACTTGGTGTTTAAGGCTAACCAAATGATTGGAAAGCAATCACGGCCAGGACAGAGATCAACTATCTATCTGGGCACAGTGTTACCTGTTTGAGTTGTTAGAAAAAGATTTCTCAATTTAAAATCTGTTCAGAAGACTTTTTCACATTTATCAGTTTCTTTTCACTTTTGTGCTAGACAGGCACTTTAAGAGCTATGAACTGCAGTTTCAGAAGTATAAGACACAGGAGTTTCAGCTGTCGTTGGTAAATATAGGAAAGAATTAACACAGAATTGGATTAAAAAGAAACTAAATAAAAGTAAGAAAACTGCTCTAAATCTTGTAAAAATCACCGGTCTCTGATGCGCACAACTCCTATGCTAGAAAAGAAAAATTAACAGCTATCATCCATCTATATCCATACCAGTGAACACTACAGCTTTCCGATATTAAGGTACAATGGTTTTGCTGTTTGGGTTTGTAAAGATTTAAAAATACTTATGTTAGAAAGTACTTTCAATGATTTTCGAGTAGTATAGTATCTCAAAGTATTCTGTTGTACAGAGGTCCCAAACACTCAGAGAAACTAAAATGTCGAAGAAAACAGGTTGTAAGAGTTTAGTAAAGTGTATAAAAATCAAAAGACTAACGTGAAAAAATAAATTGCATTCATTCATAGGATTCCAATGACTCTTTTTCCCCTCTTTCCTTTGTTTTTTTTGTTTTTCGTTTTTTGTTTTTCCTGGTCTTAGTTAGCTGGTACATACTGCACCCGCCACAGCACGTTGGAAAGCAGGTCCTGGTACACACTAAGAAATATCCAACCAGGTAAATACAACAGGGTGATGAGGCCCATGAAATTGAGCGGGTAGTGGGAATAATCCCAGGAACAAGCCCCGCACGTGCGAAGTCCCAGACCCCAGGACAACTCCCAAGCGTAGATGAAGATCACGTAGATGGGCACTCGCTTCCAGGTGCCCCAGCCACGGCTGTAGTGGAGGTGAAAATAGAGCTTTTCCACCACAAAACTGCAGCTGCCATACATTAAGAAGGACCAAAGCGACGTGTGACCGCTGGTTGTCCCGTCCCCCTGCCCCAGCACATTAAAGAAGAAGGTAAAGAAGATCTCATCCAGAAAGCCGTGCATTCCGAAGAAAACAAAGCGGAGCAGGTCGGGTAGTCCCTGGCTAGGGGCTCCTCCGGCACCCCTGGGACCTCGGGGTCTTCGCCGCCGGCCCTCGGCTGCCGCGGGGACCCGGGCTCCCGGAGGAGGGGCGGGCAGCGCGCCCCAGCGCCGCTGTTGCAGCCGCCGCTGCCGGTGGTACCGCAGGCGCAGAAAGCGCTTCAGGAACACTTGGCCGTGGTAGAGAGCCAGCACGTACTGCAGCGCCAGGTCCAGCGCCCCCGGCGCCGCCGCGCCCCCCTGCCCGCCGCCCACGCCGAGCAGCAGCGCCTGGCCCGCCAGGATCTGCAGCCCCACGTGGGCCGAGGGATACAGGAGGAAATTGAAGAGGAAGGCGCTGGGGCAGCGCGGCTGCTGCAGGTAGAGCTTCTCCAGGACCAAGTGGGTGAGCGAGTGCAGGAGGCAGCGGTAGGGCGAGGAGAAGCCGAGCATCCGCGGGTCCGGGCTGCGAGCGAAGAGCCGCGCCGAGGACACCAGCACGTCAAGGGTGATCCCGTGCATCCCGTAGAAGTACAGGCGCATCCAGGCGGGCAGCGCGGTGCCCTCGCCCGGCGCTTCAGCGGTGGACAGCGGCTCCGGGCAGCGGGTGGCCGCCTCGCTGCCCTGCCCGCCGGGGGCCCCGGGACGCCGCGCTGCGCCGCCCCTCCGTGCCGGCGCCTCGCTGTCCACGTCGCTGCCCGCCATGGGCTCGGAGGCTACACGGCGCGCGGAGCTGCGGGGCCGAGCTGCCGCTGCCGGTCCCCGGGGGGCGCGGGGAGCCCCGTCCCGGCCGCAGTCCCGCGGCGGCGGCGGCGGGGGCTGGTGCGCTCGGGGGTCACGCGCGTCGCCCGCCCGGAGGAGCCTCCAGCCGCGCCCTCCGCCCCAGTGCACCGCGAGGTGTCGCCGGTCGGAGCCCGCGCTCACCCTGCGCGGCCTAAAGGGCGTCGCGTCGGGAGAGGGGAGGAGACGCCGGGGCCGCGAGGAGGAACGTGGAGACTGGATCGAGCCCCATCCCCTCCGCGGCGCAGCCCCGCCGCCTCTGCCGCAGGCTCTGGGAGCGGCCGCGGCCCTTCCCGCGCCTCCCCGCCGGGCCCGACCTCTCCCGCCTTCGCAGCGCCCCGCCACGCCCCGGCCTTGCGCGCCCAGCCTCGCGGGGGGCGGCCGGAGAAGGCCGGCTCGGCTCCTGGGCCGGCGCCCCGCGCCCCGCACCCGCGTCCCGGCCCTGCGGTGGGCGCTGGCTGGGCGCAGCCGCGGAGCGCGGCAGCACCTAACAGGTGTGAGCGGCGCGAGCTGCGGGCCATCCCGGCGTGCGGGAGCCAGGCCAGGCCTTGGCTGGCAGAGACCAATGGCCGGGTGCCACGGCCCGGAGGCTGGGCCCAAGACCAGACCGCGGTGCGGCGGGTTTAACGTTCCCATTCAGCGCCAGCTGTGTCCCGCTCGCCCAGAGTAAGCCCGAGACTCCGCGCCTGCCCGCCCCCGCGTAACCGGCGTTTGAAATGCTGCCTCGAGGCCTGATCTCCTTTCCCAGTGTCTTCTCCTGGTCAGGCTGCTTCACTAGCTCAGCTCACTGGGGCCAAGGACGGAGATTCGAAGTCCTCCAGCAGGAGAAGATGTGAGGCCAGCAGAGTTGGGGTGTGCAGGACAGGAAATACATTGCTCCTGCCACCGCGGGGTGGTCTCCGGTCTCCGGTGGAGAACAGTCTGTGCACCTTGGCTCCGGCTGGCATACCTCAGAGCTGGTGTGCTCTTTTTGCCGATCTAGGTCATTCCAGAAACGCAGTGCGAAATAGAGGGCCAGGGTTTTTCTTTTCCTGGGTTTCCTTTTTCCTTCCTCTCTGTCTCCAGCTCCCCGTCCCCCTTCTTATTTTTCTGGTGGTAACGAGGAAGAAGGGGTTTTAAAGTGTTGATAAAAATGACTCTGACTTTTTTTTTTCCAGTTTTGAGTCAAGCTTGGAATTGGAAAAGTCCTTAGAGATAAATTATACCGCTCACAAGCATGTACAAACAGGAGCTAGATAACTGTTTTAATCTGTGAAGGAGATCGGATCTTTTACCTGGATAAAGAAAGGGTTTTATGGGGAGTTTTCTTTTTTCTGCGGGAGGATGAACGTTCTCAGGCAGAGCTTCCATTTCTAAGGCAACTTCCTCCCAATGCCCTCCCCTTAGATATTTAAATCCCTTCTGTTACAATCTCAGACAGCTAAACTTTCTGTGAAGTAGGTAAAAGAGAAGTTGGAATTTGGTGAGAAAACTGTTTCTATGATAACACTGGTATGAAGTCAAAGGTCTGATTTTCTTTTTCCAGCTTCATTAGCATGTTATCTATCTGACTTTCTTTGGTAATTGTAACAAGTCCAAGTTCATGGTGGAAGTTGTCACACCAGAGACAGAAGTGTCAGGTAGCAAGCTCATCAAACCTGTTGCCAAACAGAAACACAGCTAGATGTTCAAATGCCTGAGGAATAATGGTGGCGAAAACCATTAATGTAGTAAAGGTGTAGCCTGTCTTTAAGAGTATGTCATCTATGTGAAATGGTTTGAAAACAGTCTATCATGCTTGTGTAATACCTACTTACGGTCAGTATTAATAATACATAACTATGATTGGCTAGTAGTATACAGAAAATACATACCTACTTATGGTCAATATTAATAATACATAACTATGATTGGCTAGTAGTATACACAAAATGAAATATTTCTTTTGACTATTTTATTCAGTTAGCTCCATCCTGGACCCAGTGTATCACGGGTAAAAACAAAGGCAGGAGATTGTCCCAGCACAACTGCTGGATGGACAAGCACATTTCTAGGAAGTAGTTAGGTCTGCTGTCCTTTGGCTTCCTGTCTTAGGAGAGCCAAGTTCCAAAAACCGTGTCCCACAGAAGCTGCAAAAGCAGCCTGATTTTAGTACCTGTGCCATACGCAAGGGCAAGACACTACCTTTGCTCAAACTCTGTATTACCAGCGAAATGTTAGTTTCTCCATGAGGCTCTTTCGGTAAGGAAGTGCGCTTCAGGGTAAATACAGCGTATTTGTGGCATTCAGACATTCTAGATTGAACTGCAATTTTTTTTAAAATAGTCAATTAAATTTCAAGAGTTCATTCTACCAATTCTAACTTAAGACTGCAAGGAAAACTAGGAAAGTCAAATTTTATAGTCCTGTCTAGAATTCATTCCAGAGAGCTTATGAAAATCTTTTGAATTAAAAAAAAAGAATTTATATTTTTATAGTTTTAACTTCAGCATTTAATTATATTCTAGTTTGTGTACTTTATGTGTTTCATATCATACATGAGTACAATCAAACATTTATAATAGTGTGTGTGTATGAAGTATGCTAAATATTCAAGGTAATATGTAGTACAACATTTGGATATATAGGAACATGTTCTCTGTATCAGTGTAGCACCTTGTCAAATGGGTTATTCTACTGAAATCCTTCAGTATTCTTGGCCCCTTTCTGAAATTTTTCCATTTTCCGTTAGAAGTGATACAAAATATAAACAGTTAAAGAGCCAAAGTAGAAAGTGCAGCTATTACCTGCTTTTCTCAATACTTCTTTTTATTTTCATTGTGGCTTTTCATACATTTCAGAAGTGATAGGCATTCATTTAGCAAAAGGTAAAAAAAAAAGTATCTGACAAAGTACAAGAAAATTTATGATTTCTTTTATTGCTTTTAATTGTTTTCTCTCACTGCTTCATTTAAAAAATCAATTCTGAAAAGTTAGTTCAATGCATGATTTCATTTTGTATTGTTGTCACAAAATACTGGAAGCTGAGTAATTTGTAAAGAAAAAAAGTCTCTCCAGAGAGCCATTTCCCCAGTTAGCTAAACACCTTTCACTAGGCTTACCTCTTAAAAGCTTCAGTACCTTTAAATGCCCCACACTGTGAACAAGCTTCCAACACATGAACCATTAAAGGAACAACTACATCCGATCTACAGTACCTAGCAATGATGCCCACTGGTGTTTCTGTTTTATCTCACATCATTCTTTTTGTTTTGCATGTGTCATTACTGTATTTCCAAAACAATTCCCCTTACTTAAAAACTGCACAGTGGCTTTAATGATTTGAGATAATTTTGTAATTAAAATCCTCACATCAGGCATGAATGTAAAAATCTCAAAGGCCTTTTTGTGTATATTTTCTGCTGTAAGCAGCAAATGTCAAGATCATTAAACTGAGTAACTTTTAGAGTTGGTGGATGTGAGGATGAGGGGACTATAAGGAAGACACAGACTGCAAGAGAGAAACAGCAGTAGGAAGTTGGTTGGATTTGGGGCATTCAAGGCACATTTTGACATTACTCTATGCACAACTCCGGATTCTTCAGAGGCCAAGAAGTAGTCTGGGTAACCACTTCTGTTGGAATGTAGTAGTTACTTACTGGGTATAAGCTGGCTCAAGGCTGAGCTTAATCAGTGTGACCAGGAAGAGACTTGAGAATTAGTGGAAGGGTCTGGTCCCCCAGAGGACTGTGATCATCTTTAGTGAATTGTTCCATTGGTTCAAGGTTGTGATATTTCAGATGTACAGTATACTTAAGACTATTCTACACTGGAAGAACCAGTGGGAAATGCATAAATGCATACAGCACATACAGCAGTAAGAAAAAAACTTAGAGGAAGCTCATAGGGTGAGGCTTTTTTTTTTTTTTTTTTTTGTCTTTTTGAGAAACGGTTTAACTAGATAGTTCAGGCTGGCATTGAACTCACTTTCTAGCCCTGGCCTGGCTTCGAATTCATGGTGATTTTCCTGCCTCAGCCTCCTAAATTCTGGGCTTACAGGTGTGTGCCACCATACCCAGCAGGGTGAGACATGTATATTAAGTTTGGCCTACATATGCTTCCATGCATATTTGAATTTTGACTTGAAGTTTTCTCTGTATGTAGTAAACTGTCATGTAACTTGATGTGGAAACATCATAAACTACTCTTGTAATAAGTAGCTCATTATCAATAACACACTGCTTGACTGCTTCCTTATGTCCTCCTCGTTCTGGTGTTTTTTTTTCTCAGTGCTAGAAATCAAACCCAAGGCCTTGCACATGCTAGCTAAGCATAGTTCCACTAAGCTGTATCCCAGCCCCATGATGCTATTTTTAAAAGCTCTTTTGATGTTGCATCCATTATGATTTTCCCTTTATTTTCACACTCTGTGGTACCCACTGTCATGGGCTTCACATCTGTTATTTAAAGTTAAAGAACTGGGTACAACCCTATTCTTCCTAGATCTCCTGGGTACCATGTGGATACTGAGACCCAGGATGACTGGGGAAAGGTTTTCAGCAGGATGACTATGCCTTCCCTCTCAAAGGCTTTGGTTGGAACAAGCTAATTGAGAGGGTTTTTAGCTTGGTTTTGTTTTTTTAAAAGAAAAATAGAAAGATGATAACTGCCTTTGCTTTTCATAAATAGTCTAAACATAATTCTTCAAAATAAGCAAAATAGGAAAATATAAAGGACACAGGCATTTATATATGGGCACTTCATAATTTTAGAACTCTTTCAGTAAAAACAAATCCATAAAATGAAGTTAAGCAATATATAATAAGATGCCTTTGTCCTTTTTAAATAAGTTAAAGTGTTAATATTAATCATCAATTGTAAGTTTAAAGTTGACATACTTTAGCAACATGTTGTATGACAGAGAATCAATGTATCTGGGTCTGTTACTAAACATGAGCAAATTATTGACTTTGAGAAAACTCATATATCTAGATGTCATACTCTACGGATTGTTGTTCAGTTGCTAAGGGTTACAATTGTAACTCATAAATGATAATTGAAGTTAGAAATAGCTTTACCTTCCTTACAGTTGTACATCTGAGGAAAGGAAGGTGAGTTTTACGAGGAAGGGTATGGAATATGATGAATGCTTTTGTTGAGGAGAAAGTAGTGATTTTGTTCTAAAGTAAACTGGTTGTTCCAGTGCAAAAGAGAAAAGGACAGAATGACTGAAGGTGATGGGTTATAGCTGAGCAGTTTGACTACAGTTAGAAGTCAAAAGTGTTTATTTTTATAAAAATTGAATACTGAGATTGGGAAAAAAATTATGGAAACCCAGAGTTTAATCCGTTATGTTGGAATGGCAGAATTTTCTTGAGGAATTGATCTATTGACCTGGCCTGAACAGAAATTCTTAAGTTTTTAAATATCTGACTAGGTTAGAAAAGGGAGCAAAGATACTGTGTTTTTTCAAGTGTGCTTTATCTGTACTTTATGTTTTCTTTATTTAATCTTTAATTACATTGTGAACATGAGAGCTAACAGAGTTTAGATTTTTCTACAGGTATCTGACATCTCCGGGTTTGTGTATGAAATATTTGGTTGTATTTCATAATACTCTTTGTTTCTACTTTAATAACATATTTTAAATTTTTTTCTAGGTTTGGCAAACTCCCAAAGTCAAATTCTAGAGCTACATCTTTTTGAATTTTAACTTTGAGATTTCCAGATAACCCCGGGAAATGCAAAAGTGAAGCATTAGGCTTAGTTTATTTGTTAAAGTATATGAGAAGCTTAGTAAAATAAGAAATGATATGTAAACTTCTTCTTGTATTTACTACATTCAATACCTTGTTAATGTGTGATCTAAAATTGTATAACACTCCTAGCACTCTGATTCATCTTGGCAGAGGATTATTTCTCATGATTCCAGTTATATGCCATGGACGTAACAAACTCATCAGAACTAGCTGTTTTAAGCTTTGTTTTCCACAGAAAAACTGCTTTATTCTAATGCCTTTCTGGAAGATTTTAGCAAACAACTGAAATCTAAAAGTGTTATAAAAAAAACTCCAAAGGCATGGGTTTCTCATAACTTCAGTTGAGAATTTTCTAAAATTTTGATAAGTGCAAGAATTACATAAGACTGAAGGAGGTGATGAATAACTGTGTCTTTATATTCTCTTTTTTCTCCCTTTTATGGTGCTAACAATCATGGACAGGCACTTTACCACTGAGCTACACTGTCAGGTCCCTTTTATAGCTTTTTACATTTGAAATGTTGCTGCCTATTTTAATATTTTATTTTCTAGACTTAAGGAAACTTTTTTAAAGCTATATATAGCTTACTAGAATGTAGCCCTGTTCATTGTTTTTGAGGTTTTATGA